CTGTTGTTCTCAAGTTGTGCATATGTCATTATTTACCTCTGTCTCACTTAGCCCATTGAGACCTGTCTAATTGTTCTTCCATTCCCCTCTCCCTACTTATATATTGCCCCCTCCCTAGCATCCAGACTATCCTGTGTCTAATCCCTGCCCTGTGCTCCACCTTCACCTCCCTCCCCTTACCCACCCCCAACATCCCAATAATCAACAAAGAATCCCCCCCACCCCCTTTAAGTATGGGTTCTTTCCCTTAGTCTTTTACAGTAGTAGTCCTATGCAGTATTTCTCTTTTCTACAAATGTTTTTTAAATGTATCTTATTAAAATATCTAAAATATTTTTGCCCGGTTCTCTGAAGCATTTAAATTTATTTGGTATTTATTGTTTGTAAAATCATTCTTAAAACGGTAAAGAAGCATTAGATGTCCATATGATTTTCAGCTGTATTTACATCTCTTCGAAATTTTTCATACTCACTTTTCATTAAGGGCATTTAATTCTACTATATATTGGATACTTACTAAGAGTATAAGAAGTAAAGTAGAATATGGAAACATTTAATAGAAAAATGGGTAGGTAGATTTTTAATATTGATGTATTCTCTTTCTTTTCAAATATGTTTAAATATTGCTGCTGTTGCTGTTAAGTGCCGTTGAGTTGGTTCCAATTTATTAGCACAATTTACAGCAATACTGTATAGGGTCGAGCAGTGGCTAGTGGGTTTGAACTGCTGACCTTGTGGTTAGCAGTCCAGTGCTTATGCTATAGCACTACACTTGGTTGTTGTTCCATGCCATTGAGTCTTTTCCGACCCATAGCGACCTTGTATAGGGTTTCCAAAGAGAAACTGGTGAGCTTGAACCACCGACCTTGTAGTTCAAACGACTTTGCAGTCTGATGCATTAGCCCACAGCGCCACACCAGAACTCCATAGGACTCCTTAAATATTCCAGATAGGTATATTTTATCAAACATAAGGCTGAGGGCTTTGCAAAATGCTAAACAACCATAGGCAGAGATACTGCTGCTACTGTTGAGGGACACCTGGGTACAATTTTGCTTTTTCCACCAGAATGAGATGATAACATTTTTAATACTATGTTTAGTTCAAGAACCATTAGAAACTAATGTTTATAAACATTTCTTTAGCCGAAAGTACATAGATTATTAGTGAAATTTTTCTACTACAATAGTGGCATCTGCTCTACTATGAAGAAATAATAAGACAGAATTTAGATTTTAATGTACAAAATTGAAATCTGATCTAAAAACTCATCAGTATATTTGCTTTCTTTTAATGTTGTTGTTAAGTGACATCAAGTCAGTTCCAACTCATAACAACCCTATATAGGGTTTCTAAGGAGTAGCTGGTGTGTTTGAACTGTCCACCTTGCAGTTAGTAGTCCAGTGTTTATCCTGTAGCGCCACACCAGGATTCATTTCTTTTAATAGACTAAGAAAATCTTACTATAGGAGAAGAGCCAGGATTTGTTGAAATTGTAAAGGAAAATGTAATTTGTAGCAGCCTAAATGAGAAGGCATATTTTAAAATATGATCTTTAGTTTATGATGAAACAGTAATATTGCTGAGTATAATACTGTACAGATTTTTTAATCATATATTTTACCTGTAATTACTTTACCTGAGAACCGTGTAATATCCCAGACTCCTAAATCTCAAATTTTCCAGTATTTCAGAATAAGAAATTTATGCAGGAAATGGTTGTATTTATTTTTGCAAAAGAAAAAGGCAGTCTTTTGGAAGACTGGTAAATAGAAAAACAAGAGTAGTTGAGGTAAAGAAAGCTGTATACTTATTTAAACGTAAAAGAGAAACCAGAAACCAGAAACCTGGCTGGGAGTGCTTGTTAGGGATCTTAGCCTCTGGGGGAACTTTGTGATGACTTTCAAGTGCCTGCTGGAGCACTTGTTTTTAAAAGAACAGCTGTTTTTTAAAGGTGAATTCTGTCTTTATGAAGTTACTGTAAAAAGACCTGAATTGACCTGTAATCTACTATTTTGACCCCCACTTTCTATTTTTTGAGGAATGAGTTAAAGATGTGGTACATTATTTTTGTTCTTTAAAGTGTGTCATCTGTTCTCTATGGTAAGTTATGAAAGTCCCAGAATTCATTGCAGATTAAATTACTCAGGACATTATTTGCAGGTGTCAGATTCCTTCATCAGGCATCTGTTTACATCATCTTGCTCCTTGTTTCCTTCTTTCCTACCATGTGTAATATAGCTATGGTACCAATCAAGGCATCATGCAAAGAAATAAAATGAGTGAATTTCTGAGTTAGTATCCCCCCCCAATCCAGAATTAGTCCATATTTACTGGTAACCCACCCAATAACTTTCATTTGCCATAAGAGACTAATTTTTATTTAAAATATTAGATTTCTAAATCATGACGTAAAGCTTACTATTGGAGCAACAAGTATTTGTTAATTCTTCTTTTTTGCTTTGTCTAAACTGTTTGTCAGATGGTTTCTGCTATGGTTATGCTGAATGAAATGCCTTGCCTAATGCTTGCTTTGGTTCATGCTGTTGTTTGAAGATTTCTCGTATGGCATTTGTTAACTGTCATTTCTTCTTTACCTTCCTGCCTTAAACATTTCTACTACCCTTCCCCTTTACTTGAGTTTGTTTTTGTTGTTACTGTAATGGTGATATGTAATGGTTTATAGACACATGTGCTGGGTGGTTCCTCAGATTCACAAATGTTGCTAAACTGAAAAGAGAATTCTAGACACTTTTGCAAATCTGTCTCATCTAAGCTAATTTTAGAAGGTGCATGTTGAATGAAATTTGCCGAAAATTGCTTATTACTCAAGATATGCGGGATGCTTTTTTACTTCAGGAACCAGGGCCAGTTAAAAGTATCAACAAAAGTATCATTGTTCAATTCAATATATAGTATAGTTTGTTATGTTCGTTTGTAATAGAAAGTTGGGACTTTCGGGGATAAAATGAGATTTGAGGTAAATTTGAAATAAGAATAAAGAATCCTAAAAACATAGCCTAAGATAGAAATGACTGCTAATGTCTTATACTTTTAAGGGTGGTTATGCATTTCATTTTTTGTATTCCCTGCACATATTGGCAAGTAGCAACACCATCGCTACACATTATTGCATTAAGCGTTTTTACTCTTTTGGAAGGTCCTTGTAGTTTGTGTGTAAATAATAATCAAGATCAAGATAATAATTATATTGCAGATTTGTTTAGAATAAGATACTATAGGTAAGATTATAGAAATAAAAATTCTCAAGGTGAATTATCTGCTAGTAGTGTCACCACTATTAGAGTACATACTGCATTCCACTAGCTGAGAAATTACATAATAGAGCTTTCAAACTCCAAGGAATTGTGAGCATTGTGGCAGCTGTTTCTCCTAGTATCTTGTGTTTCTTTTGGATAGCTGATTTCTCTTCTTAGAAAATACTGTTTAACAGTCCTATTCTCAAATAAAAGTGCTAAGTGAGGCAGTTACTATATTAATTTTATTTTGCTGGGTAATTACAGCTGTGGAATTTCTTCATAAACAGATTTTGATTAGCATTGTTGTTAAGTTCCTAGATCATTTTAGGAAATGATAGCTCATTTCCAGAAGTTGTCTATTTGAGAAAGGAATGAGTCTTTCATCTCCAGTAAGAAATTTTAGAGTTGTTGTTGTTCACAAATAATAAATTACTAGATTCTGACAAAGAGTAATGGCATTAAGTGAGTTGTGACTGGGAATAATAAATTTAAGCATCCTTCTAGGCCCTGAAATGAACAAGGTACTAGTTGTTAGTCAATAATGTCTTACAATCTGCTAGCTGTCTTGTAGAAACTATAACGTAAGGCCCTTGAAATAGATGCCGTCATCAGCCCCAGGCTCCAGGCATTCATCTATTTAAACCCATGACAGAAGATGGTGTAAGAGAGTTTAGCAGCTATTTGTGTGGTAGGAGTGGTTATTGTATTAGGACATACTTTATTGTAGGTCAGCAACTTTTGAGTTAAAATATTGCAGCTGTCTCTTACTTTTCTTAAATCTTTCTCACACTGTTTACTGCAGACAACTCACTTAATCTTTTTCCACAAACATAGATCCAAGGAGCAACAAATTCCAACTTCCTACTATCTATCCGAATAGATTTCAGTATTTTACTTTTTTTTTTTTTTTAAAGGCAATGGACAGCCTAGACGTAGATCCATCCAAGATTTGACTGTCACTGGAACAGAACCTGGTCAGGTAAGACTTACTTGAATTCTCTTTGATGACTAATGGTAGAAATTGAGAATTCGTTATAATATACTCTGTAAAATTAATTTTATGAGTTGAAATGACTTTGGTCTGAAATTGTGATCGAGAAGTTCATTTCCTCAAGAGGATGCCTCTCCGCTGGGGTCATACAGTGCATTGACATACCTGGAGAACTATTCAGATCTTTTAATTTGTCATATCCATTGGAATTATAGGTCTTTCAAATTTTTTTAAGCAATGCAAAAACTCTAGAACTAGTGTTCTATCCTCACTGTTAAAGTTTTCATTTTTTATCTCTGTTTCTGGATGATGTTCTTCTCAACTCTCACTACATCTTTATCATTGCGTCTTTGTAGGTGATCCAGTCATTGCTACAATATAATATAAATCATTGTAGACTAGTACAGAATTCAGCCGTTTTAACCTTCCAGGTGTACAAATCTAACTTAGTGATTGCTTTTTATTTTTTATTGAGATTAATTGACATGTAATATATAATTTCAGATGCTGTAAAGTGAATAAGGGCTAATTATGAGGGATTTTGTTGTTATTGCTTTGTTTTCAGTTATTCTGAAATAAGTTTTATGAGTGTAGCATGCATCTGAAATAATAAAATACCATATCATATTCTATATTAACTTGAACTTTTAACATATATTGTAAATAGTAATTTAATTTATGATAAAATGTATTAGTATTTTTTCATCCTGGAAAGGTGTTTTTTTTATTATTTCAGTTTTATAGCATACTTAAAATTTTTGAATTATTTGTCATCATTAATAAAATTTGGAAACTTTTTATAGTCATCAACTTAAGTAACTTAACATAGTTAAGTAATAAATATCTTTAATCTTCATTTCATCTAGAAAGATTTTTATTTTAGAATGACCAAGTGTCTGTGCTCAAATACATTCATAGACAAGCTTATATGTTTTGCAACATATCAGTGATCAAGCATTAATTTTACCTATTTAGCAGGGTATTTTTGTTGTTGTTGTTACTATTTTTTATGTATCTGCTTTAGTGGGTCTCAAAACTTTTGACTGAAGTGTTCCATTTTTCTCCTCTTTAAGTACTTTAAAGTTTTATCAGCCCGTTTAGTAACATAGTTTGACATCTGGCATTGCTTTGACTCCTTAGAGTCTTGATGAGCTCGGCCTTTTAAACTTTTATTTACTTTTGCCATTGATGTTCCAGTTATGAGAACCATTATCCAAGAGTGCTCTCTTAGAGTAGGAATGAGAAGCTTGCCCTAAGACACTTCTGAAATATCCACTGGTAAAAGTGCTTTTCTCTGTAATCTAGAAATAAAGGCATTACTGTTACCCAGTATTGATCTTCCATCTTTGTATACTCACACCAAAGTTATATATTACATACATTATGTTGTTACCCTTTTAATTTTTAGTACCTTAGAGTAGTTGATATTGTTCAGTGCAGTCAAGTTGGTTCTGACTCATAGCTATCTTGTATCCAAGGAGCAGCTGGTGAGCTTGAACCACCACCAACATGTGGTTCAAATCAACCTTGCAGTAAGTGAGGCAGAGTAGGATTAGTAAGAATCTATTTGAATTAATTTTCATAAATTGAAGGGGGAAGGTGTAATATGGCAGTAAAACTTGTTGTAAAACAAATTGCTGCCATTATATAGCCAATTTAAAAATTAATCCAGTCTTTAACATTAAAATGCCTAATGTTCAGTTTAGTATAATCATGGAATATAGCAATCTTAATGTGATGTGAAAACATTTCTCCCTGAAATGCCATGATAGATAAGCTTAAAAATCATTTAATTACTCATAATGATAATATTTACTGTTTGAAGAAGAAAAATATTCACAGTGTGGATTTTTGAATTTGGAGTCTGACTTAGTAGTGACTAGATACATCCTCTGCTCTTTGCCCACAGAAATTGGAAAGAAAGTATTAAAAAATAAAAAAAGAATTTTTCTCTCCCAATATAATCATCAAAGGAAGAAAAATAACTTACTAGTAAAGTTTAACATTGCATCTCATAGAGGAAAGTAAATTAACTAAAATTTCCACTTGGGATAATGTCTCAAGACATTATGTTAATAAAATTACTTAGATATTTAACATTTTGTTGTGAACTGGGTGTAGCTTTACAGAACAGATCAGTTTTCCATTCAACAATTCAGAAACATTTTGTTTCATATCATTGATTGCAATCCCCACAAAGTAATATCACAATCCCCACAAAGTATCCTACTTCCTCCCTGTGTTTTCTGTTTCCATTCCTCCTTCTTCCCTAATCCTGCTGAGCTTTGTCCTTGGGTAAATGCTGCTCTTTGGTCTCAAATTGATTATTGATTATTCTAAGGAGTGCATAGAATAATTCCTTACTGTTGTTCCCCTTAGAGACCTGTCTATTGTTTTTCTGAAAATTGAGCCTTGACCTTCTAGACCTGAAGGGTGACTAAGGGCCATAGTCTTTTAATGCATAGGGTCGCTATGAATTGGCACCTACTCGATGGTACCTAACAACAACAACAAAGGATTTGTGCTTTGGCATTTTGTGGTGGCACAGTGACCTTGTTGTTGTGCAAAACATTACCATGCCCCAGCTAAAGTGAGTGAGTGATCCTTCATTATCACTTGTAGCTTTATCTTCACTCTAGTGTACCCTTCTTATAGAATTGCTGCTGTTTTCTGGTAATAGTAGAGTAAACCCTTGTTTTCTTGCACCTTTCCCCAAAATCATTCATCCAAAGCCCAAATCCTTTGTTGTTGTTGTTAGATGCCATTGAGTCGGTACCAATTCATAGCAACCCTAGGCACAACAGAACAGAAAACTGCCCGGTCCTGGGCCAACATCACAATTGTTGCCACACTTAAGCTCATTGATGCTGCTACTTTAGGCCAGTCCATCTCTCTAGGGTCTTGCTCTTTTTCTCTGACACTCCACCTTACCAAACATTATATCCTTCTCCAGCGACTGCTCCCTCCTGACAATATGTCTGAAGTATGAGAGATGAAGTTTGGCCATCCTGGCCGCCAAGGATCATTCTGGCTGTACGTCTTCCAAAGCAGATCTTTTGGTTCTTTTGGCAGCCCATGGCACTTACAATATTCTCCTCTAACACAACTCAAAGGCATCAATTCTTTTATG